TCCTTTCGTCCCCATTTGAAGGACGACTGGGTTCTCCAATTGGCGAATTGGGATGTGGACTGCATGGACAAAGTCCGGCGATAGCACGTCCATTTCGGCTCCACTATCGAATAGCGCATAGGCTTTTATGCCTGCTATTTTTATGTGAGCCGTTAGCGTTCTCTTCGTTGAGAGCGGTCTGTTTGCAGGGTATTTTCCCGCATCTTTTGAGATGCGGAATTTCGCATCAAACAAGGGGGACTGGGTTTCGATGGACTTTTGGTCCTTCTTCCCTTTGTCCTTGTTTTCCTTGGGTACTTTGGTGTATTTCCCCAAGGCGTCTTTTCTTGGTGCTTCCACCAAGGCTTCGGCGACTTTTTCGTCTGCCATGTTTTCTAACTGGTGTGCTACAGCCAGTTTGATTTTATAATTTATGTCATTGTGGTCGATGACTGACATTGGGCCCATTCTTATGGTCCCAACGTTGACTTCCTCACCCTCTGAGTTGGGTGAGTATTGAGGTCCTTCGTATGGGTCCTCTACTTCGAAGCTTGATGCTTCGGAGTTACCAGAGTTGTTCTCTGGTTTCTCATCTGATGAGCCTTTCGACTCTTCATCCGTTGAGTTCACGATCTCCATGGCAGCTATGCGCCTTGGTTTTTCATCGCTCATTATATTGTGTCTTGGGCAATCTTTCGTTTGCCCTATTTTGCTGCATTTGCCGCAAATTGGAACTGACTTTTGGTCAGTTTTCCTCGAGTTTTTCGAGGATGTATCCTCTTTCCATCTGGGTTTCAGCTCTTCCGCCTTCTTTCCTGATGGGAGGGCTCTGCTGCGGCTCGTGGTTGCCGTGGTAGTTGTTCTGGTATAATAACCTGATTTGTAGGCTGAAGACATCTTCAGCCCGTCAATTATCTCATCTACACGAGATATTGCTTTTAACATCTCCTCGTTTGAGGAGAAGTCTGCTCTGATTCTATCATGAGCAATCATTTCCCTCTTCCATTCGAGGGGAATGTAGTTTAGGAACCTGGCGTTGAAGGACGCCTGGTCTGGCGGCGTCACCATCTGGGACGCTGCTTTTGACAGTTCTAAGTAGAACTGTTTTAGGCCTTTTTCCGCTTCGTATTTGACGTTGCGGTATTTCTTTGTCACGTTCAACACGGTGGAGGCTTTGATGAAGGTTCTCATCAATATGTTGAGAACTTCGAGGAACATGCCCTCGTCTCCTCTGAGGAGAGTTTCGTCTCGGAGTCTAATTCCGAGGTCAAACACGGGCCCCCCTAATCCACGAATCAAGCAGTCCAGGTGGACTTCGTCAAATTGGGGACCTTTGCATCCTTGCGAGGTGAGGAATCCCAGTAGTTCTGTGAACCACTGCCAGAACGATTCCATGTCGTTCTCCCCTGACCATTTCTTGTCAGGGAATGCCAGCCCATTCTTTAGGGCTTCTGGTTTCACTCCTTCTGGGTAGGGAGTGAGTATTCTCACTTGGGCCATTCTTATGGCCTTTTCGTACCATTTCTCCAGGTACTCTTCTTGCTCCCCTGCCTTCACGGGGTCGCTATCCAATGGAGATCTCTCCTTTGGGGGGGTTTTTGCTGGGGGAAATCTTCCTCGCAGCGTTTCTTTGGTTTCAAGCGAATTCACCTGAAGTTGTATTTGTATTCTCTCATTGTTTTGAGAGGGTGTGATTGAGTTACCTCTCTGTTTGAGAGGTCCGTCATAAGTGGACATTTGGCCGAACCTTTGGTACGTGCCAATTCTCCTCCTAATCTCTGAACGATGCCTTCTTTCGGCATCGTCTTCTCCTATCCTTGGGAGAAGGATCTCCTTAGCGTCTCTGTTGAGTCGCTGATGATATTCCAGTGTGCTTTCACTGGTGGTTCTTTTCGTGAATTTTTCACGAGTTCTATTTATGTCCTGGACCGTGGTCCAGGGGTGTTTATTTGTTTCCTCACTTTTTTGTGAGAAATTTATTTCCTTCAGCAAATTTGTTTGTTCGCTGATTTTTCAGTCAACGCGTCGATTGCGTTGGCCATTCTTTCTAGAGTTATCTCTAGACGAGCCATGCTATTATGGTTCATTTCCTCGATCTTTTTTTGGATCGAGTTTATCGCGTTTATTATGCACGATTCCTGGTTTTCCAGGAGGAAGTTTGGTTGGGCGAGCAGAGACTCTCCCCAGTTGACATTTCCGCTTCTGGGGGTTCCAGAATGGGTTCTTGGAGTGAACACTCCACACTCGCTTTGTTTAGGCGAGGCCGTTGTGGAGGGTGCATCCCTTTCATAGAGGGGTTTGTTCACTGGTTTTTCCTTACTTTTACGTAAGGCTTCCTCAGCGAACTCCCTCATTTCAGTTCACCTCCTCTTCATTATCTCGGAGACCTCCTCCGAGGTTGGCAACCTTGCCTTGTCTGGCATGGTGTGTGGGAGTGTAAACAGCGGAAGTTCTTTTGGAGCTTCCGTGCTCTGGGAGATCCTGCTCTCAGGGTGTATTTTCACGCCTTCTCGGGCTTTCAGCCTGAGACGAAGTTGATCTTCACTTTCCATCCTCCATTCAGACGGAACCTGGAACAAGTCCAGTAGTTTTTCGGATAGCCGACGCAGGGGCTCTTCCCTTTGTTTCCCTTTGTCTGCCTTTGGGGCTTGACTTGGGGACGTGAGGGGGGGCTCCAGGGGATAGTGGGGCCCTGGAGTTTCCTGCGACTCTATCCGATCAGCTTTTTGGGCTGATCGTTCGGCGCTTATGCGTTTTTCGCACAAGTCGATCACCTCGTGAGGAGGTGAGGGATCTTCCCCAGCTTGGGTTAGATCGGTATGTTGTGGAGTTCTGGGGGTATTTTGCCCCACACTTACTCCACGTAAGTTTCTAAAACCTTCAGGGACCAGCCCTGAGGTGGTTGCTAATGCCGGATCATGTTGATCCTCGTCGTCGTCTGACGACGGCTTTTGGTTTGAATCTCCCATGATGGGAGATTGCGGTTTCTTTATAAACCGCTCGTTTCTTTTTAGTGTCGCTGCAGATGCGACCTTGCCCTTGCGGGCATGTTTAGGCGCCATAGGCGCTTCCGAGTCAGATGTTAAGATTGTAGAGTTGTGGGTTGTGTTGTAAAACACACCTCTTGCACTTAAAAAAGTGTGAGGTCTTAGGGTGGCTCAGCACACAAGGCCGTAAGTGATACAAGATAGTGTATTTTACGGTGGTGTGTAAGCAGTTACCCGGAGGTTCCCGCTTGCCCACGTGACTATATGTATCTAATTTACATGTGACTCGGGGTTCGGGGCTATTGCCCTCACAATTTCCCTGGTCCTCATCGCTCTTTTAGTTCTGTCGTACTTACCATCCTGCTCCATCCCGCACTGGACCAACCGGCCCCTTCTCTGTTCTCCTTTCGTATTTATACTTGTAGTTTACTGTCGATGTACCTTAGTCCAAATATTGACTAGAATTCCCCCAAGTACTCTCATCTTAAGTTCGCCTCTCAACTTCATCCCTGCTTAAGTCAACGTCGCTGCAAGGTCTTTCCCACTAAACATGAAATACGGGACAGCCTAGAACGTGTGGCGCAACACTCTAGCCAAGTCGTTGAAGCCGAAGTCCCAACCCCCACGATGCCTTGCAACGGAGTAGCTCATTAGCTAAGTGACCACTCACACTGCTGTACTCCACTCCGCTTCCCGCAATCACCTCGAATACAGTTTCTGACAGAAGGAGACAAAGGGGATGGTGGATATATGGAGGTGTAGCTCATTGGTCGAGAGGGTCAAGGAGCTTATGACCATTCCTTGCTGGAGGGAGCGGAAGAGCTTTGGTTATGTAGAAGAATGGACGAGCAATGGGATGCATAGGGTAAGCAAACACACATTCATTACATGTCAATTGTTGAACTAGTTTCTGTCCTAGCTATACTTGGATTGTTATAGAATGGACCTAGAATCTTATGGTCCGTGTCCATAGATGATTAGATTGTTGGGAATTCACCACCTTACTTCACTGTCAAACCCCATGCCAAGCTTTCCCACTGGGTTTTGGTGCTGGCTGGGGGATTTGTTGAGTTTCAAGGGATTTCCTTTGACCTTTTATAACTTTTATATTAGATAGTTGAAAGTCATATGACATGTAAGGCAGATGCCGAAAGATGTTTTTCATTATCAAATACATAACCCACAAACCCTGTACCGCGATTGTAACTTCCTCACCATTGTGCCACCACTGTAAACTCAACCTGTAACCCTGGAACCATGTCCACCTCCCTATTCATCCTCTCCATGACAAAACTGCAACGAGGAGGGCATTCCCATGCCCAACCTCCTGCTGCCCACTCCCACCAGTCCACTGGGTGGTCAAGTGGTTACTCCCATCCAACCAGAAGTTCCCTACCAGGAACTGTAGCCTATCCCACTTCCTCAGGAGAAGGATATGGTCCAGGCAGCTCCAGGATGCTTGGCCATGCACCTGCAGGTCCCACTTCCCACAGTCACCCACTACCGTGCACTGGTCCACCAGCCCGCTTTCCCCAACAACTCCTGCTACCGGTACGCTCCCATGAGTGCCAAGTCACCGATAGCCACCAACTGGGTGACTCCCTTTGGGAGTCCCAGTATCCCTCACTACTGGTACGCTCCATTGAGCACCAAGTCACCACTAGCCAAACACTACCGGCACGCTCCCAGGAGTGCCAAGTCCCCGTTAGCAGACAGCCAGGTGGCTCCCTCAAGGAGCCCACATCATACTCGCTACCGGTACGCTCCCAGGAGCGCCAAGTTACCGTTGGCCAACCCACAGGTTGTACTTCCATACACTCATCCTATTCCACTCTCCCTCCGATGGCTACGCAGCCACCTCCATTAGTGAGCCAAACGGTTCAGGTTGGGTTCCCTGGAACCCATTCCTGTAACATGGATGTTCTGAAGATCCACATTGCACAGCTAACACAGCTAGTGCACCCTCTGGACATCACCACCATCACAAAGGAACAGCTAAAAGTTTCCCACCCAATATGGCTCAAGTCACCTCCCATGTGGCGGTCTCTGGAGAAAGAGAGCAATGAGGTGTATGCAGGAGAGGCCCTTGAGCATGCAAAGCTGGTCCCTGCTGATCTGACAGTGTGTTGCAACCCAAGGGATGTGAGAGATGGGTGTTTGACTGCCATCATGTGAGTTCCATGGGCTGATTGTTGGCATTGGGTTGAATGTTTCTCAGGTTCTTCATCCTGAATATGTCCAAGCAAAAAAATCAAACCTGAACTATGAGATGGCCAAGATACATTGGTCCTTTGCACTGGTAAGTGCATATGATGTGGTTCAAGGAGGTTGATGGGTAGCCACACAGTTCAGGTTCATTGTCTTTGAGCCTGAAAAACTCAAATCGATGAGCACTCATGGTGGAAGTAGGAGGCAAGGAGACATGGACCACTTTTGTTTCACAGAGGACAACCCATTCTTGTTTTGGGACACTGCCATCCCACTTTGGTGCAGGAAATTGGTGTTGAAGGAGAGGGTGTAAGTATTTTGGATGGGCTGGGTGTTTGATTGGCTGACTATCGATTACAGGTGGTGGAAATGCTGGCCTAGACACCATCAATACACAATGCTGCAGTAAAAGCAATGACCAAAGGAGCAAGCAAGGCTGGACAAACCGAACTCGCAATGGAAACAGTGAAGCTCTTTGATTGCTCTACTATCAGTCGAATGATCAAAGAAAGTATGTCATGGTGGTCTTTGTTGCAGCGCTTTGTCCCCCTGTCATGCAGGAAGTCCTCCTACACCTTCACATCTGGGGTTACAATGGAACCCTATTCTCCACAGCGCCATCATGAGTACCAACAAAAGGGAATGGAGATAGTGGGACAAGTCAACACTGCAAGAGAGCAGCAAGACACCACTTTGGTCCACCTGAACCAAATCAACCAGGAGATAGAGACTTTGGTGTCAACGAAAATGGACTTGGAAGCAAGGTGCTCTGGGTTGGACCTAGAAGAAGAATGGCTGGATGAGAATGAAGGGTTCATCCATGAGAGAGCCTTCATGGATCCCATGAATTTTCATGAAACATCATAAAGGTTCATGAACCTTTATGTTTATATACAATATTTATATTGAAATCATTAATTTTCAACCCAAAAAGTTGATTTTTTTGGCAAGCATGAACCTTCATGAAAATTTTCATGAAGCAGCATGGAATTTCATGCTGTTTCATGAAACTTCATGACTGCTGACTTCATGAAAAGTCATGAAGCTATGCATCATGAATCTTCATGCAGAGCCATGAATGTCCATGAATGTCCCTGCATGGTCATGAGCATGCCCAACAATTCCCATACCTGCACATGAATGCTCATGATCCTTCATGAATATTCCCGACTCTTCATGGAGAGTCATGACTGAGCAGCACATGGCTTGAGTGTGCAAGGTGCAACCAAATTTCCCCCCATTTGTCTCTCCTGTCATATCCATCACCTTCTGTCACCTCCAGCCATCCCAGATTTCCTCTGCTCCTTCATCTCCAACCTCAGAGCCCCCAGATCCTGCAATCTCCTCCGACTCCCCTGATGGTCACCACCCACCCATTTCAACATATTACCTATGCCTCCCTAAGTACAGAACTCCGAAGGTCTCCAGACAGCTCCAACATCTGCAAGTGCACCCCTGCCTCTGCTGGGTCATTTAGTTGCCTACCCTGCAAGTCCACCTTTGGACCGATCCATCCATTCCACTTCTGGGTTATAGCCCATTAACCCTGTAACCCAAGTCATCAGTAGTATTCAGTCAGCTACTTGACCCCGTTAGGTCAGCTCCATCCAGCCCCTGCCATTTATGGGCCTGCTGCCTAGACTCCCTCTGTATCTATATATACATAACTTGTAGTTACTGTACACCTCAGTGAACAAATCGACTAGAGTTAATCCCCCTGTTCTAGAAGACTCCTCAGTCCGTAAATTAGGGCACCGACATGATACTGGGCACAGTGCTCCTGGTAGAGTCGCTGAGGCCATAGCCCTCCAAACATAGAGTCATTTTCATTTGTCCCAAATCTGGTCTCTGACATCTCCTTCAATTCTCCATCAAATGTTATGGGGTAGGTACCATTTTTGTCACATGAATTAAGGCTTTTTTCTGTATCTCATTGTGATGCAATAGTCCCCAATTATATGAAGGAATTTGGATGAGCTGGTTCACTATATGTGCACTTATTCTGTTTACTGTGCTCTCAAAAAATACAGAAAATACTTTGGGTTATATTCTTCTTCATGGAAAGTCATGCACATTCATGAACATTCATAAGAAGGCATGGGGGTGCATAATGTGTCAATTTCCAACTTGAACTGGTTATATTCGGTCATGAAAGTTCATGAAAACTTTCATGAGACTGCATGACTGTGTATGCTCCTGCATGAACCCTCATGAATCCTCATGAATCTCTGTGCAGCTTCACAAAACTGCATGAATTCATGACCCTTCATGACTTGGGATTACACTTTTTCGCAGTTACTGGATCTCCCCATGTTTCCATCTCCTGATCCCACTCAAAGCACAGTTCCGACCTTCCTCCCCACTCAATGAGTTGAGGATTGTTATGATGGCAGTCAACCCAGTGGCATGCCAATGGAAGATGGACCAGATGTCAAAGATCATTTTATTATCCACTTCCAACTTCGAACTCATGTTGACAGCTTCTTCCAAAATGCACTGGGCAAGTATGCAAGCCACCAGTCAGCTCAGAACCTGCAGCAGTTCTTCACCACCTTGCTTGGGGATGATGCAACTTCATGGTCCATCATGAAGGGGGACTGGAGCATAGGAGGGACCAAGGAAGAATCAAGCAGTATGGGAGGCCAAATCGCTCACTCGTCCCCAACCAATAGCCACACTCCCTCCCTGGAAAGGCCACATCCATTGATCAGCAAACAACCTGTAGTGGAAACTGATGGTAATGGAGCACAGCCAAGGAACCCCCCCCATCCTACAAGTCCCTTCCTTGTACCCTGAAGCAACATTTATCAGGGGAAGGCCATGATGGGACCACAGCAAAGAGACAAAGGGGAACACAGCTGGCAGGTCCCAGTGGCACCCGCCAGCAGGTAGTTTTGGTGGAATCACACCAGAGACAAAGGATGTTGATGAATCCATGCAGGGTAACATCTGCATGGTTTGTGATGCATTCAAGAACATGGGCTGGGTCCACCAGGGGACAATCACAATGGCCCAATTGATGATAACCTCATTAATGCATAGAATGCATTTGAAATCTGTAAGTTGTATACAATAATATTCTTGATGCAGGATAATAATAGATACCAACCTGCTGCTTAGGCACTACAGTGCCACTCAATACTTTCATCTCTCAACCATGTCATTAGCAGAGAGCAGAAGGACATTGGCAAGATGACAATCAAGGGTTCACTGTATGACAATGACCTTGATGTCAAAGAGTGGTTGCAATCATCTGGGTGGGAGTTCAGCCCAATGTTTTACAAAGGACTGGTAAGTGTTATGGAAATGGAGAATCTTATGGTCCATGACAGGCAACCAGACCTTGAGGCCCCTTGCTATGGAAATGGGCCTAGACTCCTATAGACCAGGCACACAGGTAAGATATTTCTTACTTCTTCTCACTTCATTCTCTGCCAAACCCCATGCCAAGCTTTCCCACTGGGTTTTGGTGCTGGCTGGGGGATTTGTTGATTTCCAAGGGACTTCCTTTGGCCATTATAACATTTGTATTAGATAGATACAAGTCATATGACATGTATGGTAATTGCTGAGATGTTTTCTCATTATTGAATACATAACCCACAAACCTTGTACCGCAATTGTAACATCCTCACCATTGTGCCACCACTGTAAACTCAACCTGTAACCTTGGAACCATGTCCACCTCCCTATTCATCCTCTCCATGACAAAACCGCAATGAGGAGGGCATTCCCACGCCCAACCTCCTCCTGCCTGCTCCCACCAGTCCACCAGGTGGTTGAGCAGTCACTCCCCTCCAACCAGAAGTTCCCTATCAGGAACTGTAGCCTATCCCACCTCCTTAGGAGAGGGATATGGTCCAGGCAGCTCCAGGACGCCTGGCCACACACCCGCAGGTCCCACTTCCCACGGTCACCACTACTGTGCACTGGTCCACCAGCCCACTTCCCCCAACAACTCCTGCTACCAGTACGCTCCCGTGAGTGCCAAGTCACCGATAGCCACCAACTGGGTGACTCCCTTTGGGAGTCCCAGTATCCCACGCTACTGGTATGCTCCATTGAGTGCCAAGTCACCGCTAGCCAACCACTCCCAGCACACCCGCTACCAGCATGCTCCTGGGAGCGCCAAGTCCCCATTAGCAGACAGCCAGGTGGCTCTCTCAAGGAGCCCACGTCATACTTGCTACCGGTACGCTCCCAGGAGCGCCAAGTTACCGTTGGCCAACCCACAGGTTGTACTTCCAGATACTCATCCCATTCCACTCTCCCTCCTCTGGCTATGCAGCCACCTCCATTAGTGAGCCAAACGGTTCAGGTTGGGTTCCCTGGAACCCATTCCTGTAACAGTAAGTTTTAATAATAATATTGATCATGATCTCAATTGCTTAGTGATCTGCTGTTCAGCAACAGTCCACTAACTCCAAACCACTCCCTGACTTCCTGAAAGGGAGTAATGATTTTAACACTGTGGTCAAAGTGAGTTCACTCAACTGTTTGATGATTCTGGGCATCCCACTCAATAATTATGAATGTCCACCACATTGTATCCAGGCCAATCATGACACTGTGATGAAGGATCTGGAGGAGAAAGAGGATGAGGACAAGGAGGATGAGGATGAGGATGAGGAAGAGGACAAGGAGGACAAGGAGGAGGAGGAGGAGGAGGGTGAGGACAAGGATCATGAGGGAGATGAGGATGATGTCAGGGGTAACCCTGCGGCATTGTCCTCACCTCTCACTTTGCTAGGTGACACACCTCCACCACCCACCAAACGTCCTTGCCCTCCTGGGTCCTTACCAACATCTACATCTTCCATGCCAACCAAACGTGGCAGAACTGCTGCTGACCCAATCCCAATTGTTTCTGTGCCCACCTGACAGAGGGCTCAAGGCACCTCCAAGACAACTGGTCCCTCATTGTCAAAAACGAAACAGAAAGGTGATGATGGAGACCTGGTGCCAAACACCACTGGTCTCAAAAGGCTTGGGGAGTGAGTCCCTCTTCCACTGGTTGTCATGATGATTGTATTCTTGTATATGCAATATGATGTTGTATTCATGATGTTCACCCACATGCATAAATAAAAGTCATGAGGTTGCAGCGGCAATAGCCTATTGGCAGGTTCTTCTATAGATTGAGCATCTGCCTCAGGGTGCCAGACTTCAGGCAAGGTTTGATTGCAGACAGCTGTTTGTCGCTGTGGAACCAAGCTGCAAAGTTCCTCATCGCATCTGGGGTTGGGGGTGGGTCCTGTTCCAGTACATCCAGCACCACAGGCATGAAGTCTGCCCATGTCAGAGGTGCTTTGGCCTGTTGAAGGTTATCCTCCAACAACCAGGATCAAAACATGATCCCATCCTGAGAGACCTCTGCAATCATGTGTTGTGTGTGGTTAGCGAATGGAATGCATACATGTCATAGATATCCTTACTCTTTCCATATAATGCTACCAACCACCATGCATTGGAGGATGCATGGATTGATCAGATCTGTGTGGCTGACAGATGGCATTCATGTTCCTTGACCGGAAGGTCCTGGATATACCCAAGCTCCACAGCAAATCCACCTCAATCGAGTCGTCTGTGGGCAGGAGCCCAGCCATGGTGTACTGCTCAATGTCCTTTGTCACCATGTGGCCCCAGGAGTGG